TTGTTATCGACAAACTGAAATACTCATTAATTTCCTTGCGTTCGAATTATCTGATGCCCAAGTCGTTAGGCAAATGCCAGATGTTTCGCTGTACGTGATTTATTCAAATAGCAAACATTTTTTAGAATAATCGTTTCACGCTGAACGGAGTTCAGGTACATTATACGAAATATAAAACGAGCTGAAATGTGCAATATGTTCACTAATGAACTGGGTATTCTAATGGAGTATGAAATTATCGTATGTTAATAGTAGAAAATATAAGTATTTACTTATATTTTCTACTATTAGTAATTTATTCGAGTTTTCATCATTTGATGAAAACTCGAATAAATTACATTGGATCAGACTGGTAAATATAACGACAATAAGCCAGCATATGGTTTTTGATCGTTCTGTATGACTAAAAAACAGCAATGCTACTATACAAGGTAGTCCGAATTGTATTACGGAAACTTTGGCAGCATATTCTGCAGATAAAAATAAGTAAATAAGTTCGTATAAATGTATGTCCTTAAATGCTTAGTTTTGGAGATACAGGGTGTAGAAGTTTCGTTTTTATTTCGATTTTTTCCAAATAATTTCTGAAGCAACGTCAATATTTGGATGAAAATTGATGTCTGGGAGTTTTTTGACATGATAAATTTGATTTTGATGTCAATATGACTCCTACTTGTAGAGAGCGCCACCTACATATTTTTTAACTGTTTTAAAGACTAATAATTCGTCCGTACCCGTATAAAATTACTGAATAAAAAATATACATTTACGACATTTTTTACGTAAAATAGGTCTCTTGGTAGAAATCGCCACTAGTAATGGTTTTCGAGATATTTGGAATCAAAATTATCAATACCTGTCATCATTGACATAAATTAAACATGTTGACTAAATAGTTATCAAACTGAAATCATAAATTTGGAATGTTTTTGTGTCAAAAGTTCAACAGAAACTGTTTTATCATCATTTTTTCGCAGAAAAATTTATTATTAATTTAAAAAAATAAAAACTTCTCAAATTTATTATTTCAGTCAAATAATTATCTACTCAACGTGTTTATTTTTTGTCAATAATGACATGTATTGACTATTTCCATTCTAAATATCTTGAGAGCGGTTGCTCTTGTCAAACATGACAAATCTCGGTTGCCAAAATTTTTGGTTGCCAAACCAAAAACGACATTTGTCATGTTTGTATATGACAAAAAATAATATTGATTGACGTATTCAATTCTTTTCGGTCATTTTCTGTTTTACCGGAAATAACTACAGCTTTTGATTTTTAAATGGCACATTCGGTATATTTTTACTTTACTCGATAGAAAATGGCATTCTGAATAGAATCACATATCATATGTCAACTTTTGACATTTTCGCTTAAAACAAAATTGTATTTTAAATTTTGATCTAGAGTACTATGGCTGTATTAAAAACATTAATTTTAATCAAGGAGCTTGGAAAAATAGATTTGATCGCCTAATGTTTTTAGTTTTTAGTGTCTTGTCCTGGCCGGTTAAAAGATGTCCAAATCGCATTTTTATTATTTTTTCAAATGGAACGGGGTTGGCTCATTAGCATATGTGAAAAAAACATTTTTTACGAACGATTTGGTACCACACACTTGGTATTTCGAGTCAAATTGTCAATATGAATCGCATGTTCCAATTTCAAATAAAAAAATTTGACCTTAAAAATTTCGACCGTGTAATATATCACATTAAATTATTAAGAATATAATAGTTAAGCATAGGCAACTTTTATTACTTGCTTCTTTATGGATTTAAATTTAAACAATACTATTTAAGGCAAGCGCAATAACGTTAGCTGTTTTGCACGCAGCTGGAAGTCGCTCTCTTCCATCTCCAACCATCAAAATGTTAACAGTATTTTCCGTATCGATCTGATTCATCAATCTAACATTTATTAGTAAAATAAAATAAGTTTAAATAAATTCGTGTTTCCTTTCTCAACCATATCAAAAGACATTACAGACCGAAAATATTCGAAATTGTCAAAAGTTGACATGTGATATGTCATTCTATTCAGGGTGTCATTTTCTATCGAATAAAGTAACATAATACCGAGGGTGTCATTAAAAAATCAAAAGTTGTAGTCATTTCCGGTGAAACCGGAAGTGACCAAAAACAATTGAATACGTTAATCAATCCTAATTTATGTCATATACTAACATACCAAATCTCGATTTTTTATATGAAAAAATAAAAAAGTTATAGGGGGTGAGCCACTTTTGAGACGCACCCGGTATATACAGAATGTGTTGTGTTCAGGAAATTTCGGCAGCCTATTATTATAAAGAATCTTAATAAGAAGTTTAAGATTATAAAGAATCGAAATAAGAAATTTAGGATCGAACTCTAAAGATAGTTCGATCCTAAACTGTCAGTTTTTTGACTTCATCTAGGGACCGAGTTGAATTTCATGTTAAAGATTTTAGACAGTGACGAAAAGTCTATAAGACAGTGTTGAAAACGATATATTTTTTTAGGAGTCTCGCACCGGTTCAGCTGCCAAGAATTTTTTTGAAGCCCTCAATTCATTGAAGAATTTAGTTGAGTCATTCCTCAAACTTTCGATGTTATACTTGATATTACTTAATGGAGTTCCCTGTTTCTCAGACAATCCATTTGATTGCATTTTTTGTGTAGGTAAAATAGGATTTTGCTACTACCAAGAAATAAACGCAAAATTTCTCAACGAAAATAACAATGTCTATTAGATAGTTATTTGTCTGAAATGACTTATATTCGTTATATTTGTATTTTCAGTTCATTTATTATTGTGTCACTACTTATTTGGTCTTCTCGACTTATTCCTTTTATTATATGGAAGAATTGCATCTTCCTTGTCCTAAGTTTATGGCAGATATGTCAACAGTTATTATTAAAATTTCTGTTTTATTAAGCACCTTCCAAAATCATTAAAATCCATGTTTATTGTATTAAATCTCAATAATGAATTGTTTTTACTTCTCTTCGTAGAAAGCAATTGTAGTTGAAAGTAGCATACTTACTCCATTTGATGACAATATAATTAATTTCAAAAAAAATCTTTGTTAATTTAAGGTTTGTCTTGTGATTTATTGTGCTGTGCTGATTAAAAGAATAAAGTCTTGATTTTATGTTTTGATTGACTTTAAAATTAATTTCAAGAATCTAGTATACTCGGACTTTTATTGGTTATAATCTAGTAGGGTCTTGATCTATATACTCCAAAGGACGACGCTTAAAGACAATGAAGAATGGCGGAACGCTACCGATCTAGGGTGCGTTTTACAAAGGGTTGTTTCGAAGCCGGCTCCATTCAATTACGGTTCTTAGTTCTTAGTGACAATGTATGTGTGTGCGAGACTCTGGAGAGGCGGCCAGGTCAATGTCAGTCGGCGTAATTCTAATTGGCAGAAGATCGGCCGCCGTTTGATATAACATCGGACCGACTTTGTGAGCCGGGTCGCGCGGCAACGCGGAAAGACAGGTGATGTTTTTCCAGAGAGGGCGGCGCGAGGGTGTATCTCAAATAAAACCCTTCTCTATAAACGTACATGTTCCGCAAAAGCTGTAATTTAATAAAAATACAAACAGATAAAGTTACCATCATCTGTACTGGTACTTTTTTATTTATTTTTTATTTATTAAATTTTTAAAAACTATTTGAATAAGTTTACCAGTTTTCAGCCTCTTGTGTTTTTCTCCTGTGTATACTCATATGGGGAGTGTAGTACGCGCCCAATCGTTTGTGATACTCTTTTTACATCAATAATTTTATAATATCGAATAAGATAAGATATTTTTCAGATTTGTTTTAACTGAAAATGAGTAAGTCGTGATAAAGTATTATTTTTATATATACTCATATGAGGCAGAGCAAGAACGATTGTAACAGTTCATACAAGACTATTAGAATGAAGATGACAAATTTACTACTGAATATGACGATGACGAGGAAAGAAAAGTGGATATTACAGAAAACCCGAAATAAACTCTGATACAAAAAATATATTTCCGATTCTAAAGCACTGATACAGTATTGCCAGGATCGGCGATACAGAATTGTGATAGGCGGAAAAACTCGTTACTCTTGTGTACGGTGTCGCAATTTCCTATATATAGAGCACACACACACGCAAATGTTCTGCAATCACTGTTTCACGTATTAAATTTTTCATTATTATTATTTATTTTTGTTTTTGAATAATATCTATTAGTTTTGCGTGTTTTGTGTTGTTTAACATTTTATATTTTATGTTTTTGTACGATATTCGTAATGAAGCAAAAAACTCCGAAAAAAATCCGCATACTAAAATCCAGAGATGTTAAGTGTTGCTATATCACATAAAAACATAAAATATAAAATGTTAAACAAAACAAAACACGCAAAACTAATAGATATTATTCAAAAATGAAAATAAACCATAATAATGAGAAGTTTAATACGTGAAACAGTGATTGCAGAACATTTGTGTGTGCTCTATATATAAGAAATTGTGAGAGTAAGAGTTTCCAGTGTAGATTAAAAAATACATAACAATTCTGAATAGGCGTATCCCATTCAGAAAATTCTTTAGGTTTAAAAATACCAATTTCAACTAATCTCTGTTTTTATTTCATTATAGAAATACCCCTCACACCACTACGAGGGAAAAACCACGAAATTTAATATTTAGAAGGCACATTCATACTAAATTTGATTTATTAATAATGCCAAATACGGCAATTCAAGTAGAAAATAAAAATAATTATACAAAAAAATATTACAGTTCTAAAAGTGACGAAGCATTTAAATTAAATGATAAGGTTTAGGTACGCGACTTTAGGCCTAATGTACCGAAGTGGTGTGAGGAAGTTTTTAGGAAGTCGAACTTCGTACCATTGAGGGTATGATTTGGAAACGTCATTTAGAATCAGATACAGGTTAATTCCTCCACAATTAGTAGAAATGACATTCAAATTATACCCAGATCGACGTTTTGTGAAGAGTTGCCTAAAGCATACCGCGCACTTATGCGCAGCGCGGCGCGGCGAAGCGCGGCGAAAAACCGTGCAACGGATTAAATTTGTGTTATATAATGCACGTCCGCTGACTCAAGCGAAGCAACCGCTTGCACCGCGCGCCGAAGCGCCGTTCGTTGCAGACCTGGAATCCAAAGCGAGGAAATTCTCTTCGGCGCGCTTCGCGTGCCCTAGTGCGCGGTGGTCTGCGGAAACTATCTCTGTTTTCGGTCATTTTCGAAATCTATTTCGGGTGTCTTCGGATGAAGGATTCTACGATTAATGTATTACTAATTGGCATTTAGGTTACGTTTAATCAAGAGCCGTTTTGTTTCGTTTGAGTTTGTTTAGTACTTGTAATTTAATTATTGTTTTATCATGGATGATGAAACGTTCATTTTAATTATACAAAGTTATAAAGAGATATATGATATTGGAGATCCCAATTATCATAATCAATTGAGAAGGGACAATATTTGGGAAGAAATTGAAGAAAAATGCGGAATAAAAGGTATGAAATTTTAATTATTTCCCAAGTTTATGGAGTGGGTAGCGGTACATAAACGTAGTACGAATTTGTTGTACAGGGTGAGTGAAGGATAGACTAAAGTTCTTTGTTCATTATCTCATTTATTTTAACAATTACAACAAAAGACTACAAAGAACAAATTTTAGAGAAGTTTAAGAGATGCCCAATTTAATATTTCTTTTAAATGTAGAGAGCACATATTTTACGCAGAGATTCTGAGTAAAATTCTATAATTTTTTGTATATAGTTTTATATACCTAAAACTATTAGTTATCTATCTATACTAATATATAAAATCCTTAAGTGACTGACATACTGATTAATCACGATCCTGCTCAAACCACTCAACGTAAGAAGCTCAATTTTGGCATACAGGTTGATTCTAGGGTGTAGAGGTTCGATAAGAAGGGATTTTTCGAAATGCCAGTTCCAAGAGGGTGAAACCACCCCTCAAATATTACAATATTTTTTATTTAAAAAACGGTCAAGTTTCCGAAAAAACGCTTACACACGTATATTTTATTTTGTTGTTTTACATATTTTAAGATTTTTTATAAATGTATACAGGGTGTTTCATAAAATATGACCATAGAGTAATCACGATTCTGCTTAAACTGCTTGACGTTTAAAGCTGATTTTTGGCAAACGGATTGACTGTGGGGTGTAGAGGTTCGATAAGGAGGGGTTTCTCGAATCTCAAATTCCAAGAGTGTGAAAACGCCCCTCAAATATTACAATATTTGTTATTTAAAAAACGGTTAGTCTTTCGGGAAAACGCTTGGACAAGCATAATTTATTTGTTTTTTTTTTACATATTATGAATTTTTTTAAAAAATCATACAGGGTGTTCCAAAAAGTTGGGTAATTTCTTAACCACGATTCTGCTTAAACTGCTTGACGTAAAAAGCTTATTTTTGGCAAACCGATTTTTCGAAAGTCAAATTCCAACGAAATTTAATCTACAACTTATGCTGCCATATTATCAAGTTATATTATGATTTATATGAAAATTAAAAATATTTCCAAAATTCTCTTTGAAAAACAGGGGTTGAAATACACTACCCCTAAAATAAATTGCACTTATTTAAAACTCAAACAACCCTGTATAATTAGTCATCGTTATAATCTTATTATATATCTAGTTTTTTCTGCCTCTTCTAACCATTTCGACTTGCCAAGGTAATGAACCAGTCTCAGAAACAAAGTAATTCTTAAATTTTTCCCTGACATCTACTGCATAAAGAGATGGATTTCCACCAATTCCGGGGATATCTATTAGACCTTGAGGTATTGTTCTATCATCTTCTTGTTCTTCTTCTGAGATCCCACCACTTACATCACAATCTCTCAAAAAATTGTGAAGACAACATGTTGCAAGAACCACTTTATCCAAATGTTCAGGTGAAATTTGAAGCTTTCTTTGGTACAAACGAAACTTTTTTACTAAAATGCCAAACGCGTTTTCGGAAACCCTTCTTGCTCTACTTAGTCTATAATTGAATATTTTTTTGTCTTCTTGTCCTGAAGTTTGTGAGCCAGGAAATGGACGCATTAAATGTTCATGGAGAGGAAAAGCTTCATCTGCGACAATTACATGAGGCATTAATATATTTGTTCCTGGTAGATTTCTTTTTTCAGGAAAATCTAGCTCATCTTTAAAAAATTTCCTTCCAAATTCTGAAGAAGAAAATACTCCACCATCACTATTACGTCCATAAGATCCAACATCAATTGCCAAAAACCTATAATTAGCATCGACCAAGGCCAGAAGTATAATACTAAAACTTTTTTTGTAGTTAAAATAACGTGAACCGCTATTTGGAGGTTTATCTGTAATTACGTGTTTTCCGTCAAGGGCACCCACGCAATTTGGAAAATTCCATTTCCGTTGGAACTCTTCTGCTACATTTTTCCATTTTTCTTTGTTGGGTACTGGCAAAAATTTGGGGGATAGTACGCGCCATATTTCTTCACACACTTGATAAACTATCTCTCTAACAGTAGTTTCACCAAGTCGATAGCTCATTGCTATTGTTCCAAAGGTGTCTCCAGTTGCCAAAAATCTGTAAAAAACATAAAGTTATTTACTCGTTACTTAAAATTATCTTCTACATTTTTGTCTAAATACTCGTATAAGGTGAATAATAATGTTACCTTATGGTAAATTATCTTTTCAGCCGAAGAATGCCGAAAAAGATGGCGCAATTTGAGGGAGTGCTACAGAAAAGCACAGAAGTCCAGACAAACAAAAAGTGGACAAGCCGCTACAAAATCAAAGCCTTGGCGACTAGAACAGCAAATGAGTTTTATGAAACCATTTTTAGCAGAAAGGCCCCAACAATCAAATTATTCAACACAAGACATAATCAACACAGAACCTGAATCAGATGGTATAGTTGATACAGTTGTATCGGTTCCTTCACCGGCGTCACCATCATCCGCACCCAGCCCTTTATCTTCTATTTCACAAAGCAGTAAAAAAAGAAAGTATAGTTCTGTAAAAGAGACACCAACTTCAGTAGCACTTCAGGAATATGTCAATTATAAAAAATCAAAAATTCATACTCCCAAGGACCACTTAACAAAATATTTTCAATCAGTTGAGGAATCTGTCAGGACTTTTCCACCTATATTGCAGATTCAGGTTAAATCTAAAATATCAGAGATAATTCATGAAGCAGAATTAAAAAATATCACCTCGCCTACCACCTCAACATATACTCAAGTCGATGAATCCCCTCCTTCAGCATATCAACAGACTCTGTCTTCCCAAAGTACAAATATACATACACTGCCACCATATAAACCACATGTTTCTCAGCAGCAGTCATCTCAGTATAATTTAAATTATTCATCAGGCACGTATGGCATTCCAACACGACAGCATCAGCAGTCACTCGAGTGTCTTCCTATGCATACAACTCCAGCCCATTCTGAGGAGAATTTGCAATATTCACCTCAAAATTATAACAGCTTTTCTCTCAATGAACCACCTCGAAGTTATAACAGCTTTTCGCCCGATGAACCCGGACAAAAGTAATTTTTATTTATGTATTGCTATTTGTACATCACATATAAAATAAAGTATTTTCTACCAATGTACAGACTACTTATTTAGAATAATGAAAAATCTATCCATTTAAAAAGCATGCATTACATAAAATAATATAAATTATTCTCTATTAATTTTATTTAGACAATATTAAAAACTTGCCTGAGACAAACTGAAAGTCTTTCGATAACGTCAATTGAGCAGCGAAATCTAGAATTTTGACGCTCTATACTTGGTCTTAACAAAGAAAGAAGTTCACTAAATTTTTCGTGGGTCATTCTATAATACTTGAAAAATTTTCTTTCGTCTTCCAGAAGATCTGAGTGAAGGTGATGGAATTCTCCGTACGTATTTCTTTTTATATTTATATTATGAATCCAAGATTTTCTTTTTTGTTCTCACGCATTTCTTCTTCCTCAGCTATTGTACATAAAGTAAGAAAATCTCCCTCTGAACTGCTGCTAGAACTTGAGCACATAATGAAATTTTAACACACCTTTATCAAACCGTCATAGAGATAACACTAAAATTAAAACGGTCAGCTCAAAACAACTTTAAATACCAACCGCGTACGCAAAACCGTGCATAAGTTAGCGGACCCATCAAAAATTCGCCGCGCTGCGCCGCGCCGCGCTTCGCATAAGTGCGCGATATGCTTAATAATGTAAATAGTGTACAGGGTGGGTCCAATTCGACGCTTTTTAATGGAAACACCCTTTTCTATAGGAGATAGACAAAAACTAATATCGGTGTGATTACAAGTTCAATAGATAACAGTATCATGACACAAATCAACATAAAACCAGTAGTTAAACACAGCTGCGGTCAGTTCTACGTTCAGTGTTTATTCAGAGAGTAATTTCAAAAGGACAAAGGGACCACGGGAGAGAGTTGTGAATGGAGAATTAATAAATAACTTGAAGTATTTAAATGACTGCAGTACTGTGCTCGAAACTGGCTCAGAATACCTGCAAATACTACTGAAGAGTACCGTGAATGATATATGATCTGGCATAGAAGCGGGACTGGAAGAAATAATAAGGAACATTAATAAGATCAAGGTGATGGTGATCAGCAGAACTGGCAGAACACCAATTATAGAAGTTAAAGAAGAGTTCTGGAAGTTAAGATTTTCGTTAAAATTACGAACTGGAAAAAGTTAACAATTTTAGATTCAATAAAAATTGGACAAACACAACTAAAAGGCGAATGATATTACAATAAGCTAAGATAATTTCAAAGAGATGAGTAAATTGCTTTGCGGTAGGACTTTCAAGCTACTTCTGGAAATACGATTGCTAAAGTTCTATGTATTGCTAGTCATACTATACGAAAAAGAATTTTGAACCTTAATTGTTAAAACAACTAATTAAAAGTTAAATAAAGTCAACAGAGTAAATGATTCTCTGATTCCATCTGTGTTTTGCTTTTTATACAGTATATTTTAAAATGGAAAACATCATATATAACAACAATACACAAGAAAGGAAGTAAAGACGATTGCGATAACTATCGAGGAATCTCCGTGCTGAGCTCTGTTTCAAGGATCTATGGAAAATTGGTTAAATAAAGAAGTGAGGAAGAATACCGGGATATGGAGGCCGAAGAACAAGCGGGATTTGAGCTGGTAGATTCACGGTCAACCATTTATTTACACTGACACAGATAATTGAGAAAAAGATGACAAGAAATCAAGAAATACATCTCCTCTACGTAGACCTCAAGAAAGCATATAGTGTGCCCCAGTTTAAATCTGTGGGAAGCTCCCGAGAAAACTAATATCAGCATAACATTAATTAAGGCTGCCCAAGAACTTTATGAGAACACAACACTAGCCAAGTAAAGAAAGGACAAAGAGTATCAGAGGGGTTCAACATGAGCAAAGGTCTTAAACAGGGCTGCTGTCAGCCCTCGACACTGTTTAAAATCTATTTGGTACAAGCACTGAAACCGTGGTAAAAAAAGAGCGAACAGATGGGGATATCATTAAACGACTCGAACTTTACACTCTTTGTTTCGCTGATTATAGAATACTGGCTCAGGACTACGAGGACTTGGAATATATGACCCGCAAACTAATTAGTACAAGTGGGGGCTGGAGGTAAACCTTAAGAAGACGAAATATATGTGTATCGGCGGCAAACAAAAGAAATTAATCCTAGAACAACAACAGCACTGCCAAAAGTATAAATATCTTGGCATGCACTTTACCAACGATAGTAGCCTTTAAGAAGAAATGAAGTACAGAAACAACCAGGGAAGACAAGCAATTAGGCAACTCAACAGTATTTTATGTGATAAGGCAGTATCAAAATAAATACATACAAATTTATAACAGCATAGTTAAAATCATCATTAGTTATTGTAGTGAAGTATGGCCTTTAATAGAAAAAACCTAAAGTCACTCGAAGCTACAGAAATGGATTTTTGGAGGCGCGCGGCCAGGGAGTCGAAACTGGATAGAGTAATGAGAAAATTCAGAACATCATGGGCGTTAAACACAGAATAACAGAAGACATCAAAATGAATCAACTCAGGTGGTACGCGTACGTACCAAGAATGTAAGAGAGCAGAATCCCAAAGAAAGTACTCAATTGGACACCACAAGGTAAAAGAAAGAGAGGGAGACCTAGACGGAGTTCAAGAGAAGAAATATCAAGAACATCAGAACAAGAGAAATAGTCGAAAACTTCTGAACAGACAGAGACTAGTGGAGACTGGAAATCAGAAGACGGCGGAGAACGTTGTGAACTGATTTGTATATGTATATATATTTTAAAATCGCCGTCTTCAATTCACTATACAATTATTTTGTTACAATGTTCAATTTATTTCACATATATTTATACTTGCGGTTTGATGTTTCGAAACCCATCTTTGTTTTATTTTTAGTCAACCGACATCGACAAATATCCACGCAACATCCCATTCTCGAACGACCTCAGCAGTAAATTACTCGGAACAAATTGTAGAGTAAGTTTTAGAATGCGAAAAGTTACGATTCAGGAGCGAAACTTTAATTACCGGACGAACCACAGACATCCGGAATCCCGTATTTTAGGAATTCAAATAGATAACAGTAATAGAAACCTTTGCCAATTACATTTCGTATTGAAAGATATAAGGTTCGAAAGAAGAGTATCCAATTCTGATTGGCTTTCTGTTTTTTACTCTTCCACAGATTCTCGAAGGTGAAATCTAATTTTATTTTAGTGATTAGTTATCAAGCAAACGTACGATGGATAAAAAACGTCATTATAATGGCCTTTGAAATATTAATTGATTATAATTTTTATTAGTTTTGGAAAGTTCTTGAACCTTGTATCGAAATATTCTTAAATTAATTTTCTTGGGACATTAGATTCAGAAAACGCTGAATTATGTTTTCACTTTGTTTAAAAAATCTTTATTTACAGCCACATATGTAATACCGACATTATTGACTTTTAAAAAAATTGAAAGTGTCAAATTATCTACATTTCTTCCCTCTTCCCATTTCCCTCGCCCATTTCCCTCACTCGGTTTTTCTAATTCTTCTCCTCATTTAATTAAGCAAAATATTCTTGTAATACCTTTATTAAATACTTATCTAACATCAACAAAAATAAACCAGAAGATTAACAATAATAAATGAAGATTTTAATACATTTATTTGTTGAAATTAATGGTCAAATTTGACTTATTGTACGCGTTAATCAATATCGTTAAGGGACCGCTCTGATGATGTGTTTCACTCATTGAGGTTTCACTGCTGCAAAAACTTAACTGCTGATTCGTTCCAGGTCTTCTAATGTCAACGAAAGAAGGTAAATAGTTTGAATTTAGGAAGAGGATGACAACGATGGCAACCATGTCGTTGAAGATATCATATTTGCGGTTTTAGTTTGGTTGGCTACTGATGCATCCACATAACCCTCAGCCACAGTACTAGATTTCCATCCCCCTAGACGCTTCAACTGTAAAATATCAGCTCCGCTATTTACCAGCAACGTAGCCGCTGTTCGTCTAAATGACCTGTGTAGGTTTTCGCAGTGGGAACTTTCAAAAAGCTAGCACTTTTATACGGAAATTTAGATATAGAATTGTGTCCAAAGGGTTGATTTCGAGCTTTTCTAATCGATATTGAACAAAAAATCTCTCATTTTCAATATCTTTTCGTAACTGTTAAATTCTTTCACAATTTCTATCCAACTTGTGTTAGTTATCATAAATGATCTGCTTTTATAAGTTTTTGTATCGGGAATTTCTATGCAAATTTTGCTTTCTAAAATATCAATATGCGTAGTTTTCATCTTCAGTAGCTCATCACTTTGAAATGCCCCAGACACACCTACTATAGGCGCAACCTAGAACAATGAAAAGAAATATTTAAAAACAGAAAAAGAAAACATTTAAAAAAGCCTTACTTTAACAGGAAGGAATTCTTGAGGTGCTTTCGTGAGAAAATCCTCCAAGTTTTACCTGGTAAAAATGCTAGACTTCTTCGGCTTAAAACCTACATTGTGGCGTTTTAAAAAAGCGACGAGTTTGTGATATTTTGATATGTCAGTCTTTTCCCTTAATTCTAGCATTGTCCGTATCATGCTGTACGTAGCCCAAAAAGTAGATGGCTATTTCTGCCTTGCCATGTCGCTAAAATATGCCATTAAGACTGTCTCCGAAGCAATATACTTAGCATTTCTTTCGGCACATCATTTTTCGTATACTTTCAATGCTATTTCATATCGCCCCCTACTTTTCTCTGGAAGTAAACTGGCTTCTACTCTTTTCGCAGCTTCTTTAAGTTCTGGTGGAATACCAAGTAATCTTCATTATTAGAACTTTCTGACAACAATCTAGCTTTCTATGTTATATAAATTCGAAAAAGCGAACGAGAAATTCAAAACTTTTTTATTAGTTGCTTCTTTTGCTGTTGAAGGTTTGCGCCATAACAACCACTGGTATCGGTAACTATAGATATGGAAATGCCAAAACAGAAAACAACAAATGTTCGCATATTTATTTACTTTTTTTGAAAATAAAATATTACCCCTATTTTTTAATTAATGATGTGGTTGTAAATAAAATAGTATACAAACCTCGGAGGTTTCATTATTGTCTCGAGATTTAGTTAATTTCTCGGCAGTAATGAAACACGTCCCTCCTGGGTATGTAATAGACTATTATTTAGTTTATGGACAAGCGTTTCTATGGGCAAACTGTATATATATATAACTGTAAACTAGTTTTAGTACGATACAGCCACGGGCAAGCAATGTTGGTAAATGCAAATCGGCTTAAAAATGACATTTAAAACAATGTGTGATGTGTTTTTCCTTTTTGTTCACCAATTTATGTTGTTTGATTAATTTTAGTGAATATTATGCCATTGTGCTGTGATAGATTGTATGTTTTGTTTTTGGATATTCATTTTTTGTCAATTCTTCTGTGATATATAACACTAATGAAGACTGTTGGCCGATACGTTTTTCCATAAACTAAATAAAGTTTTTTAAACAAAATGAAAACATAATTCAGCGTTTTCGGAACCTAATGTCCCAAGAAAATTAATTTAAGGGTTTTTGTGAATTTGACCACCTATATTGTCCTTTATTAAAAGTATCATAAAAGTTTGTAAAAAAATAATGTTTAAATAAAAGTAGTAAAAATGGCCTGT